CGAATAAATTTTAGCACATAATATGCATTTATAACTTGTTGTTAGTCCAGTTTCTTCATCTTGGACTTTAAAAAAAATTCCCATACATCTAACTTGCGAATTGTTATATTAGAATCTTCTTTAGTTGCTAAAGAAGTTGAAGAAACATCTGAGAAATTGTTATCATTTTCATTTGAAATTACGCTGCCAGGCATTGTACAATACAAATAATAATGCAAAGTGAAAATTATTCTAGTTAAAATGATTAATGCATCTTACAATTTATATGGCACAGCATTTATATAGATTGATCATCTAAACTGATCTAAATACCAGTTCGACTCAATTCAGTTTCAGTTCGATTTGATCCTCAAATTGAACTGAAACTGGTTTTATGATCAAACCAGAGTCAGACTAATCTGGCTACAGACCTTAATATCCCTAGCTATAGTGAAGATTTTAAGAGATTTAATTGGCCAATTTGCTATAACAAGAGTATTTTTATTATATTTATTCAAAAAATTCATTATAACAAGAGTTCGCTATAACAAAAGTTGACTATATTAAATAAATATTATCTTTTTTCTTAATATATGAGCATTTTACTATTATTATATCTCATAACTTAATTTTAATAATTAACAATATTATTATGATTAATTTATTATATAATTTTAATTAATTAATTAAATATAATTAGTTATAAATATTAAATTACCTATTTTTTATTATTTATGCTAATCTAATAACCAATTATTAATCAAATTTCTAGTTTTTTTCTAAAATGGCATTTATTTTTATATTATTTTCTATCAACCTTTTTAAAGCTTTATTAGCTTTTTCGTAACACATTTCAGATTTATTTTTAAGATTTTTTATATAACAAATTTCAAATAAGCAATTGATATACTTGTATACCATAATTCATAATTATATTCTAAAGGTTTATTTATTATAGGATTAATGTTATTAAATGAATAAAATTGTGAGGTTAGTTTAAATATTCTATCAAAAGATTAAAATTTTAAAATATCATTAATATGTTAAATGATAAAATTTTGGATCAAATTTTTTATCATTAATTTCTAAACTAGAAATTGTATCTAGATTATAAGATGAAGTGGAAGAAATTATATTAAGATCAAATAATAATAATGCAGAAGATGGTTTATTAAATCTATCAAAGGAAAATCTGAATTAAGGTAATTTATTATTTTAAGATCAAGTGAACTTTGTGAAACTAATATTACTAGAGATTGGAATCAGTTAATTTTTAACTGATTAAAATAAATGAATTTAAATCTAACTGAAATTCATTTCTGGCTAGAATTAAGATTTTTATAATTGCAAATTATTGTCTAATTTCAAATTTATAGTACTAGCCAAAGTTAATTTTAACTGATTAAATAATCAGTTAACAAATATTTTAACCAGTTATTAATTAGTTAAAGAATTTTAGCTGATTCTAATTTCTAGATATTGCATAATTTTTTAAACTTCTATTATGATTTCCTGAAAATGGTCAAGATTGTATTAAATTAAGAGTAACAAGTGTGATTTGTGATTAAGATAAATTAAATATACTGAACATTAATTGAGGTTGTGTGAAATCAAATTCATAATTTGTATGTATTTATACTAAACTAAGTTTTTTAAAGTTATCTTATATCTATATCAAATTAAATGTCAGTTGTTTTCATGTTAGACTAAATACTAATTATATCTATGCAAAATTAAATACTAGTTAACTTTGTATTTGTATCATTAGTATCTGCTCGAATCTATAATTTAGTTATAATTATACTTGTATTAAACCAAATGCTAGTTATATTTATATAAACTAAATCCTCTAAAATTTAATTGTGTCTGTACTTATGCTGAATCAAATGCTGATATTATTTGTATTAAACTAAATCCTCCATAATTTAGTTGTGTTTGTGTAATACCAAAACTATCAGATGCTGATTGTGCATTTGCTTGTATCTATGCAAGACTAAAATCACCAAATATTTGTTATGTTTGTATCTATATTTATGCCTGTACAAAATCAAAACTACCAAACGTTGAGTGTATCTGCAATAAATTAAATCTCCATAATTTGGTTATGTCTGTATAATATCAAAACTAAAAGCTAGTTATATTTGTGTCTGTATAATATCAAAACTAAAAGCTAGTTGCATTTGTGTTTATGCAAAACTAAAATTAAATGCTAGTTTTACCTATGTCTATACGAATTTAAGATTACCAAATGCTAAATACATTTATACTGAATTAAATCTACTATAATTTAGTTGCGTTTATGTAAAATTGAAATTTGATTATGTCTGAAAACTATCATAAAAACCAGATTGAATTGTTATATAACCAAAAGGAGATATTTGTGTTGTAGTCAATCTAAATCAAATCTTGATGGCTGTGATCTGAACCCTCTGAATGCAGATATTTGTGAAAGTGCACCAAATAAAAATGACTGTATTACTATTTTAAAGTTATATAATAGTTGCTGATTTGTTATTACTTTACCTTTTCAAAGTTAAACATAATTTATACTAACATATTATTAATATTTGTATCAAAACTAGAAGATTATTTAATGAAAATCCTCTTAAAGGATTTTTTGAATCAGATAATTTTTTTGATCTTTTCATTTACTTTATCCATATCTTCATGTTCATCAATTGCTAGAAAGCTTTAACAAGAAATTTATTAGTAAAAAAAAATCTAATAAAGAAAGAAAAAATACTTTACAGTTTTAATTATATAAATTTTGTAAATTTTGAAGTAAGATTAAATGCTTTACTAAATGTAATAATTTATTTCCTTATAATAAAAATCAGAATTATTTATTATAAAATTTTGGATGATGATTCAAGTAAGAAGTACCATTTTCTAAATTTTAAATAAGTTTTCAGACCACTAAAGTATAAATTTTTGATCCTTTTAATATAATTGGATTAACAGGAATATCAAGTTTCATGAATCCATCTTGTGACATTACAGATAATATAATACTCTTTTTAACTATAATACCTTTAGCCAACAATAAGTCTAATTTTAGAATAAATTTTAGATATTTCATAAAGAATTTGACGAATAGCAAGATTATCAACAAAATTATTACTTGAAGATTGTTTAGATAAAAACGTTTCTTCTTTACTAAAAAAACTGATAATTGGTTTATCTTTATTTTGATGATCAGAATCTTTAAAATTATCTTCTATAAGATTATTATCATCAGTTCAAGTAATTTAATAATCTTTAATTGAAAATTTGATATAATTTTTTAACATTCCTAATAGTTATTTATCCATCCTTTTCATATCAGTAACAAATTGAACATAACCTTTATTATTACAAGCTACTGTCCCTATCAAATTTGAAGAAACATTATTATTAACTCTCAAAGCAAATAAACGTAATTTAACTTCATATTTTTTAACATTGTTTCTAATTAACCTTGATATTTCTTCTACATTCCAAACATTTCCATCCATAATAAGAAAAACTGCAGTTGGTAAATTTGTTCTTTTATTATCAAAAATCCATTTTAATACTTGATAAATTTCTGTTCTACCATAATTTGCTATCATATTACGAGCAAGCAAAAATGCTGTTTATAATGAAGCTGGAGAATTTTGTTCACTCTGTTTAAAAAGAGGATCAAACTGATTACCAAATGAAACGATATTGAAATAACAATCTTCTGAAAGAGATTGTATAAATAATTCAAGTGCTGATGATACTTTTTGTATTAGCGAACCATCCATTGATCCTGATCTAATATATTTATGTATTAAATTATCAATAAATAAAAGAAGGAGGGATAACTAATAATATATCTTACACATCTATAATGAAAATCAGCTTTGATAATATTGGATTTATTGTGAATTTAGGAACTAAAGTTAACATGAGACAGTGTGTCTTTATCTGGATCATATTCAATAAAAGCTCTTGGATCAAGACCTAAATTTTTTATAACTAATATGAAATCTTTATCCAAATAACTTATTTGTCCCCCTAATGTAATCCTTGAAACTTTTGGATTTTCATTAATATTTATTTCACAAGAAATAAGATGTGAAGGTGATTCAATATTCGTTATGACTGAAGTCATTTTACACTCTATTAATAATGACAATTCGTATTTTGTAAACTCAGGAACATAACTATATTCTTGATATGATATGTTACATTTGATACCATATTTTTGGTGCTATTACAGTAAGTAAAACGAAACGAATTTTTTAATTTCCAAATCATGTTTAAGTTCTGTTACATATGTAATTCTTATTACAACTGTTTGTCTGGGTAAAATATTTTCAACAGAACATTCGAATATATCAGCATAGTGTTCTTCCAATAAAAAAGCACCATGACCTTTTTAAAATTTTGTAGATTCTTTAGCTTTTTTTTTTTAAAAAAAAAAAAAATATAAAAAAAAAAGTTCGTTCACCTCAATTGCGTTGTTATACTCTGTGGCAGCCTCTTGTGCTTCTTTAACAATACCATGAACTTTCTTTTGCCATCAATTTCTGCTTCAAAAGCACAAAAAGCCGCATTTTCATTAATTGGAAATTTTTAAATGGCATTTATACTAGAGGTTTCAGAATTTTTATACGTTTGAGCGAACTTTACTGCGGATTAATTTATGATGTATTAGCGGTAGAGATGCGTTGACCAATCAAATTGAATTATATAATAAAATAATGTGTGATTGATCATCTAACATCCGCAGGTTTTTTTTTGTGACGCGCGTCGCATTTACTATAAATTTTCACTAAATTTAGGTATAGTACTTGGCAACTTTAACCTCTGAAGGTTGAAAAAGAGAAACAACCGGCTCGGATCTCAAAAGAACTAATTTTGAATTATATTGCCTGAAAAGAGATAATTAACTAGAAATTAGTCTACCCTAAGTAATACTGAACGTCATAAAAACAATTAATTTAAAGTAGATATCGATTATCTGTAAAATTGATGATCAAAAATAAAAAAATATAAAATATACTTTTTGTTTAAACCAATTTGCAGTTAGAATGGTTAAAGTTTTGGTACTCGGAGCTACGGGGTTCATAGGCTTTGCCGTAGCCCAAGCACTTGCTCGTTCAGGACACGAAACGTATGGGTTGTATCGTAAACGTGAAAAGGAAAAGGAATTAGCCAAAAACGAAAGTAAGGTTTGTTTACATACCTATTTTTTTTTTTTTTTTTTTTTTTTTTTCTAGCAATTATAAAAAATTTCTCTTTATATGCAAAGTCTTTCCAATATTAGGAGATACAAATGATGTATCAACTTGGAACGTTGTAGCGGAACAAGTAGATATAATAATAGATGCGACATCAGAATATAATGATCCAACAAAGCATGTAACAAATATCTTAGATACATTAGAAGAAATTAATATGAAAAGAATAAAAAGTTTTGAACCAAAATTAACATTTATTTATACATCAGGATTATGGGTAATATACAATTATCTTAAATTTTTATATATATACGTATGATATTTTTATATTTATTTAAAAAAATAAATAAAAATAAAATAAAATTTTAATATCAAAAATAGATATATGGAGGAGATTCGTATAATGTGAATTGTGAATCAACTCCCTTAAAAACAAACCTAAAATTAGATCAATGGAGACCAGCAATAGAACAAATGATTATTAAATCTCAGGGTATAATAATTAGACCCGGAGCTGCTTATGGTAAAAACGGTAGTTTAACGGCACAATGGTTTGAATCCGCTATAAAAGGCGAATTATACGGTATTGGTTCAAAAGATGTTAGGTGGAATTTAGTACATGTTGATGATTTGGCCGATGCTTACGTAAGATCGGTTGAAAGATCCGAATTAGTTAAAGGCCAGATATTCATCATCACGAATAATCAATCTGAATCAATGGGTGATATGTTGGATGCTGTTGCAAGAATAACGGAATATAAGGGTAAATTCTTAAAAAAAAAAAGCATTGGTGATTTTATCTTACCAATCCCATTTATAATTCTATTTTTAGGACTTGTTAAATATAAAGTTCCTACAACAGAATTCGAAATAGCCATGGCGCATACAGGAATTTTTTCCAATAAAAAAGCTCAAACAATACTTGATTGGAAACAACGTCAATTAAGTTTTGTCGATGGAATTTATACTTGGTGGAATAGTTATAAAGCATATATTTAATAAAACGATAAATAATTTATTTCTTAAGAGGGGGAAATTATTCTATTTAAAGAATATTTGATCGATCTCTATAGATTCTATATGATATCTATTTATCAAGTACAGAAATATCTCCGAGACTTGCCATGTAATAATCTGGAATTATACGAGCATCCATAGCTAGGATATCTTGTTCTTTATTAACTCCTAAAAAAAAAAAAATTCAATTATAAATAAAACATCAAATTTTTTTTAAAATAATAATAATATTATTATTTACCAGTTAAAACGAACAAAGTACCAAGACCACCGTTAATTCCAAATAAAATGTCAGTATCAAGACGGTCACCGATCATGCAAGTACGTTCGGGATTTAAATTTAAATGTTGTATAATACAATCTAACATAGGTTTATTAGGTTTACCAAATATCCCATCAGGTTTTCTACCTAACGCTGTAATCAAAGGTGCTGCAATAGCTCCTCCACCTGGATAAATGGTTCCATTTGCTGGAAATGTGGGATCATCATTAGTTAAGAAGAAAAGACATTCGGGATTTGAATTAAGGTAAGTGAATGCTTTAGCATATTTTAAATAATTAACATGTATATCAAATCCACAAAGGACAGCTCCAACCTATGTGCGTAAGCAGAAGAAGGACGAAATTTTAATTAATTACATGTATGTTGAAGTTGGAAAAAAAAATATATATATATGGAAAAAATGAAACAAATGAATGAACGCTTACTTCTGGATCTTGTTTGATGTTGGCAAAATCCCAATTGGAAGTATCAAAATTGGAATCTTCCTTTAAACAGAAAAAGATTCAAACTTGAGAAAAAGAACTTTTGATGTAAATGGTGACCCCCCTTTTTTAATGACTTACGTTAGCTCCAGCGTAACGAATTCCTTCAGATTCCAATTCTTCAATAATTCCAACGTCTCCTACAACATAAACTTTTTTTTCTTTTGGAAACTTTAAAACATTTTTAATATAATAAGCTGAAGCATAAGCTGAACCAAAAATTTCTCCATCATGAATTTCAATATTTAACTTTTTAAATTTTTTCAAGTATCCTTTTCGAGATTTTGCACTATTATTTGAAACAAATAATAGTTTTTTTCCTAATAATACAAAAAAAGAAAGGATTCACATCATTTAATTTATATGACAAAATGTATAATTTATAATATAATTACAATAAAATTTACCCTTTTTCCGCAGTACGGATAATGCTTCTCTAAGGTTCGGAAGTACGTTATTTCCGTGCCATATGACCCCTATAATAATATCACCTGTATCAATATGATTGATTTCTTCACAGAAAAAAAATTTTTTTCGAAAGTTTACCATCACAATCGATCAAGAAAGTATCATATTTATCAAGAAAACTTTCATATGCCGATGCATCAGTTAATTTTACCGGTTCAGACATGTTTCAAGATGAAAAGTTTGGAAAAAATTATTTTGATCTCCTTTTATATTGTTTTCATTTAAATACTTTTATCCATTTAAGGTGACTTTACGTATCCGATCATTAAACTTTAAAAAAAATTACAAGTTCGAGGTGATCAACTGCATAATCTAACAAACCAAACCACTTTGTGAATTCCTAATTCTACTTAGCTTCTATTCTTGTATAGCTCGGAAATCGTAGATATGATGTCATATAAAAAACTTTAGATAATCGATAAAAATCAAAAAAATTTTATTCGTGAATTTTTGACTATACAAGGTTTTTTTTGTTTTTACTTATTTATTTTTATTCAAAGAATAATAATATTTATTTAATTCTCTTTTTTTTTTTAAAAAAAAAAAAGTTTAAATACGATAAGATGTTGAATCAACCATTAAAATATCAAACTCAAAAAATATTGTTTACACCGGCGCTGAAAAGGGCAAGAAAACCTTTCGTCGTGAGAAATGCTATAACTGGAATGGTATTACTTGGATTTTGTGGTGCTGTATGTATCCTTCATTATGATTATCGTAAATAAAAAGTTTTAAATAAAGATTACTTTCCTTAACGAAATAATTATTAATAAAAAGATTCTTATTCAATTATGGCTGTAAAACAAGATGATTTAAGTGATGTACCTATGCCATCTTTACCTCCTTCTGAGAATTTATCCGATGATAAAAAGTGAAATAATAACATATAACAGAATTATAAAATGATTGTAATGTAATTTATAATTGTTAGAATCTTTTAATTATAGCTAAATCTTTGTCAAGAAAATATATAGTAATTTTTTTAAGAAAAAACTAAACATTTTTTACAAATTGATTTTATAACATTTATAATAAATATATAAAATAAATAATATATTTATAAATAAATGTTTTTTATAATCATATAATTGTTTTTAAAATCTTTACTATAAAAATATTTATCTTAGAATTTGATATAATGAATTTTTGTATAACAATTACTTAACATTAATTGTATTGCCAAAATTTTGATTTTACAAATTTTCAACATTTATAAATTCAATAGCTTTAACAAGTATTTATGTTTTCGTTTCTACTACTTTTTATTAAAAAAATTTATTTTATAAATTAATTTTATTTGTTAAAAATTACATTATCAAGTTACTTTTATATTTCATTTAATTTATTATTTATTAGTCTTTTGTATTCATTTTATAGTTTATTAACTCTTTTTTTTATATTCATTTCATTATTAATTATTTATCTTTTTAAATATATTTAATAATATATTAAAATATTTTAAATTATATCTCTCATAATTTTTAATTTTCTTTCTTTTTAAAGTTTATCTTTATATTATATTTCCTTTATTAATTTTTTTAGTGTTTTTTTTGTTATTATAATTCTTTTTTTATATTCCTTAAATTTTTAGTCATAATATTATCTCTTAAATTGTAGAGCAGGTAAATTTGCCTACAAACATAAAAAAAAGTATTAATTTTTTAATAAAATATGAATATTAATAGTAAAAATATAATTATTATATAAAAATATAGTTTAGTTTATATTTTATTAACTTTATTAAAAGAAATTTTAAGTTTATTAAGAAGATTTTAAATAATTCAATTTTTAAAATTAAGTTTAAAAATTTATTATAATAATTTTATATGTTTATAAGCTAATTGAATCAGTTTACTATTAATAAAAGTTATAAAATTTCTTAGTAAATTATAAAAATTATAATAATTAAGTTATTCTTCATAATAAATTTTATAATATTCTATTATGATTAATATAACTATAAATAAATGTTAATAGAATATCAAAAGTTAAAGATAAAATCTTTTAATCTAAAGAGTTCGAAAATTTATTTCTTTTTAATGAAAGGAATTTTTTAGTTCTAAAGAGTCTAAAAATTCATTTCTTTTCAATGAAAGAAATTTTTCAGTTCTAAAAGAGATCTGAAAATTCATTCCTTTTCATTGAAAGAAACTTTTCAACTCTAAAAGAGTTTTGAAAAGTTGTTTCTTTTCATTGAAAGGAACTTTTCAATTCTAAAGAAGTCTAAAAATTTGTTTCTTTTCAATAAAAAGAACTTTTTAATTTTAAAGAATTCAAAAATTCATTTCTTTTTAATAAAAGGAACTTTTCAGTTTTAAAGAATCTGAAAATTTGTTTCTTTTCAATGAAAGGAATTTTTCAGTTCTAAAAGAGATCTAAAAATTCATTCCTTTTCAATAAAAGGAAACAAATATTCAACTCTAAAGAAATCTGAAAATTCGTCTCTTTTCATTGAAAAGAAACTTTTTAGCTTTAAAAAAGTTGAATTCAAATCTGACAGATCAGATTCAATCTAATCTAAATCTGACAGATCAGATCTGAATCTTAATCTGAATCTGATAGATCTGATCTGATCTGAATCTAAATCTGAATTAGATCTGAATTTGATAAATCTGATCTGAATCTGATCTGTTAGATTCAAATTAGATTCAGATCAATTCGAATCTATGCAAAACACTAGAGTCAGCATTTATAACTATTGCTGTAAATCTCTAAATTCTAAAATCACTTAAAATTCTTTTAATTATTTTGCAAAATATTTATCAGTGTGATTTGATTTGATAAATTCTATATATATTAAAGAATATCTTTTCTATTTAAAATATAAAATATAAAATTTTATAAAGATTTTCCTGTTAGATCTGTCTAATTATCAAATGTTATATATGTAAAAAAAAATAAATTATTAGATAAAAATTAATAAAATATAATTAAAATCTAAAAATAAAATAAAAATTATTTATTTAATGTTAAATTACTTTCTTATTCAAGTAATTGATAAACTTTTATATTAATATGAATAATTTCATTATTTAACAAACATCTAAAAAGAGTTTTTCTATTAGATAAATCATATGATAGACATAATTATTTAATAAATCAATAAAGAATAAATATTTAATAAGACGTTAAAAAGTTTGTAATATATAAATAGTTTTAATAAATGATATTTTTATATTAACCTTCTTTTCTTGAGATAAACTTTGAATTTCAAAAAAATCTTCTAAGTTTTTTGCTTATTTGTATTTTATTTTTTTCTAATCATATTTTCTGAAAACTTTTTATGTATTTTTATAACATATCTTATTACTTCTTTAATTTCTGAATTAATTTTATTGCAATTAATTAGATATAACGTTCTAATATTGATATTTTCTTTTATAATTATATTGTTAAATAAGCAGAACAAGTTGCAGAATAGTAACCATCACCTTAACCTAAATCTTTAATAAAAAAATTTTATATTACAGTATGTAGCCTTCCATCTTTTTTTTCTAATTCAATAACTTTGTCTAATATTACTTTTATTGAATAATAAGCATACAAAGAACAGTTTTCTAAAAAAATTTAAAAAAATGTGTTATGTTTCTGATTTTATCTTTATATGAGACCAATTTAATTATCTATATTAAATAAATATTAGGTAATATATCAAAAAAAATTTAATTGATTATAAGTTTTAAACTTTAATTTTAAGTTTAACTGTATATAGTTAGTATATAAAATTCAAATCAAATGCTTACTACGTT